CTGGTCTGGCTGGAGGAGAAATATTAGAAGAACCTATAACGTGCCTAGTGCTTTTATATTCTATTTTATCCTCACCCCTGAAGAAGTCTGACCTGTGAGAATTGCTGCTGTATTTCTAACTGCAAGGTAAACTGGAACCCCGGATGATTTCAGGAGATGAAACCAAGCAGCAACCTATTTCTACAGTTTAAACCGCACCAACCGAAGCTTCAGTGATAGATTTTGTGCAACAGAAAAGGTTGCAGCAGCATCACAGCTTCCTATGATTTCCACTTAGTTTATAATGAAGGCATAAACCCCTTGAGCAGGGGGTTTCAAGCATTTTCGGTACACAGAGGCAATTTTGCAATGTTAATCTGGATTATCAGTGAGTTTCATAACAACTTCACTGAAAGTGAGGGAAAAAGCTACAGCACCGGCTTCTGTGCAGAAGATAGTTCAGACCATGGGTCCAGATGGGCTGTTTATTGCACCTGTTCATTGATACAGCAAGTAGGTCAGAAAGACTAACAAAATATTAAGTAGTTTAATGTCCTTGATCATGAACAAACTATGATTTCAGCTGTTGGGACTTAAGCGAAACAAATGTCTTCCAAAACTTTTCTGAAACTTACAATTTGACTTTATGGCTACTACAAAAAAACAACTCACTCTGTTTATCTTGAGAGGGAAACCCCAAAGATACTGTAATCTTTGGTTTGCTGTTTGTTATCAGAATGCAAAAAGACATTCACTTTCCTCATTTCAGGGCTGCAAAATACTGTGTTGTTTCAGATACTACTCCAGAAGATAAAATACACAAACGAAAGACAAAAGTTTTGCACTGAGAAATGGAAAGAACTCACACTGGTTTGCACCTGGCAGGAAAATGCAGAGATATTATCACAGTTTGGAGGTACTGTGTTTTGCCAGATGCCACTTCCGTGCTCATTACTAAAGAGCTCCAGGATACACCAAAGCTTGCAAGAAAGATCAGGTTTTGCTTCCATGTCCATTAGGCAGACTTTTTTGCTGTTTGCTTTTTTTTTTTTAACATAGACTTCTTTTTTTTCCCTCTTTTACTTAGAGGAGATTTGGAAAAGATCTCCAAGCATACACAGATTTCAAATTTATCTTTATGTAATTTGTGAAATAAGGGACTATTTTCTGATCCAGATGGAAGCTAGAAGGCGTTACAAAAGACTATTGAAATCAAGCTGTTGTATCTCAACAAGGCACAAAAACATCTGTTCTTTGTTGGCCAAGACACAGTTAATAAACATTATTATTAGGTAAGCATCCCATTGTGCCTGTCATCATACATGTCAATCTCTGCATAAATTAGGACTCTAAACCCAACAGCAGTGAAAGAATTAATTTCTGAGAAGCGTGGGCCAAAATAACATTTATGCCTGTCAACCACCACCACAATCTCACATCATCCTTTTAGTCAAGCTTAAAGGAAAAACACCCAGGAAGCTTAAAATAATTTAGAAACATTTCTCTATTCTCAGTATCTCAACGTTTGCTCAAACAGAGTCCCCATTAAAAAATTACTAAAGGTTTTTCTGCATAAAGCTGAAGGAAAGTTTATGGGACTAAATGTCTGCATATTCTCATCCTCAGTACACTCTATCTGATCCCAGCAGATTATTCAACTCTAGAAAGTAATGACATAGGTGAATATTCAGAGATACCCTTGACTATCCTGGATTTGCAGAGGTTACAAGATCTTTGACTGTTTAACAAAGCCACTAGCAATAAATCACCACAAAGGTTCTTTTGTGAGATTGGGATCACTTTACTCAATTCAGACCTGTACGTGACACAGGAAAGTACAGCAGAAAATGAGTTACTTTTCTTTTCAGTACAGAGCAGAGCACTATAAAAGCAGCTTTTACATTTATTTCAAGATCTCAGGGTTTCTTCTGACATTGCAGCAGAGTGAAGTTTAAAAGGGGCCTTTTATACAGTCATTTGTCAGTCCAGGTGGCCTGGCCATGCAATGATTCTGCAGCATTTTTTCTCAGGCTGTCCCTTCCTTGTAGTTCAATTCACACTCGAGGCTCAATGACAAAGTACTTGCCTACCACTGCTTCCCCAGTCTTCTTTTTTTAGACCTTTGATTTTGGAAATTGTTAATCGGTTTGAAAGAGCACACTCCTGCAGTAGCTTTGGCTTTCATGTTTCTCGAAGCAATATTCTGTTTCTTAATGCAGTATGTAGGACACAACATAAACTAAGTAAATATATTAACTGAGCAACTTCCCAAATGAAATAAATCCCAGTAACTACTTGCATATGCTGAAGATATCAAGCTTCAAATTCCTATATCAGTGACTGTTTTCTAGGAAAGCAAAGCCTCTTTCCAAGTTGTTTCCCAGTGGCATTGTTTACCCAGGAAACAGGAAATATAAATACTAGGATCTCATCGACCAGCTGGGGTCTGATCTCTCAGGACCCAGATAAAAGGTCAAAATCTGAGTCTCCTCACACTTCCTTCTGCTGGAGTTAGGTCACTATGAACAGGGAGGGCAGATTCAGAAGGCTAAAAGAAAAAAAGAAAGAAAGCCTCTCACTATACAGGGTTCCGAGGTTTAGTAGCTATTCCATCTCAATGACACTGCTTTAATCTCTTCCCAGGTGCTTGATGCCTTTTATGGTTCTTCAGTGTTGGATCCTAAGATCTGGTTATTCTAGGAAAATCCAGATAATTTCAACACATTCTAAAATTACATCTTTTTACTTACTGGCCTATAGAAAATGGACCAAAGCCATCCAAGCGACTCACAGAATTCTTTCCATTAACAACTACTCAGAGCAGGACACTGGAGTCATCACTTCTCAGTTTTAGAGCAAATAACTTCTTGCACATAGCAAGCAAGGGTTTGGGAACTTGTACATTCCTTTGGTTACTTTCACTATGTGGTATTAAACCAGTTTCAACTTCATTAATTTAAAATTTGAATCATCTCACATACCCCTCCATGGATGTAGCCTTTTGCGCTTCTTTGTACCCTGATCTGATGCCCATTTGCTTCTGTATTTACCACATTTGTGAGTCCAGCCTTTGCTTTGTGCTGCTGAGGAAAGAGACAATGCTCTCTGCAGGCTTTAGCCACTTGACTGAGTCTGTACTAATATTTCAGCAAGGATGATAACAAGCAGAAAGATTTTGAGGAGTCTTGAACCCTATGGACCACTACAGATTAGGAGCTGCTGGCACATTGTGATACTGGTGCCAGTGGCTTTGCACCACCTCAGGGAGTGAAATATTTCCCTTTTTAAGTGTCCAAGGTCAGGAATACTTCTATTCTTCCACAGCACACTCTTTTTGTGATAAATACTTGTTTTCTCTCTGGGTCAGGTTTCAGTCCCCTCATTTCCCTTTCTTCTGTCTTTCATGGGTGCAAGTAAAGCATACTGGAGCAGCATTTTTCTGGGATAACAGAGCTGGTACCCTCAGAAAACCAAGCTGACATTTGCTTGCACTGGGTGAGAGAAGGGAAAGAGCTGCACAATGAAACAATCTGTCTCATTAGATTGTACACTAAAAATCACATTCTAATATTATCTTTTGCCTGAGACTCTCAAGAGATACCATTACTGGAAAATTTCTCATCTGCTTCTCACATACCATTTCCCTCTGCATACTTTTCCCTCACCTTGCCAGGAAGAATTTCCCAGAAATTGTTCACTCACGTGCTATTGCAAAAACTCTTTAGATCACCACAGTCAGCAATAGTTACAGAAATTGTGGGACTCTCAGAGTACTTGAACACTGGCAGAGTTCCCCTCTCAGAATGACCAGCACCAGGTATAATCTCTTCTAGCCAAGGGGGATGCTCTTAAAGAAAACTCTTTTGCAGGCTTAGTATGCTGCAATGGCAGGATTAATACTGGCACTTGCACCAGTCATGCTTAATGTTCAGGGGAAACTAGACTCAAAGGTCTTAACCAGGATCATGAAATTCTGATGGGGATGGACCCCACTGTCCCAAGTATAGCAGCTCTCCATGAGACAAACGCCACTCAAAACATAAACATCATTCTGGGCAGTACAGAATGTGGCTTTTGCATTCCGTAACCCTAAAAGCTACTCATCTCATCTGTCACAAAGACTATTCTGTCTATAGACTTCCAGACTAGTCTTCTCAGCATCCTCTCAGACTAGAGAGGAAGATTTTTCCACAGTCAGAATAATTTAGTGCCAGACAGACATCCAACAGGAAGGATGCATTAGGCATGTTGTTTCCACAAAATGTGGTGACCAGACAGTCAGCTCTAGGTAACTGACCCAGCACTTTGCCAAATTTAGTTGAATGCCATTTCCTCACAGTGAAAGCTAAGAATGTTACAATGCATGTAACTTATATTCCATTTTCCATTACGGCAGAAGAAAAAATAGGGCAATTTGAGTATTAAGAAGTCAGACCCAGTGAATATTTCAAACCTTATTTATTTACCTTGCTGCTCATAACTAGGAATTAACAGTGAGTGACACCAAAAAAAAAAAAAAAGTGGTTTAGATTTGAAAGAGGTGGAGCTATGCAGTACAGATGGAGGCACAGAAAAAAAATCTGAGAAGAAGTGTTTCTCTAAAAATTTCTCTGCTGTTTATAGCGTTGAATGGATAATTCTATGTATCTGAAGGAAGAAATTTAGGACATACAGATGGCATGGAGACTTATCACATACTCCCTGAAACACGATGGTTAAAAATATTATAATTTCCTTTTGAGGTTTCCCTTATCCAAATATATTGGTCTTCCAGACAAGAATGACTACTTAACAAGGACAGTAAATGAGAGGGTATCAAAGTAGGAAAAAAATATAAAAGGATCTTTAAATAAAAATTTAGTTCACTCTTACTTTACAGAATATTTAAAAGCATTTTTCTGCCTGTTCTAAAAATGACCAAGAAGAGATTGGACTGATTTTAGCTGGTAATATAGAGGAAACTTCGAGAAGAAATGGCTGCAAGCTAAGTAAAAGCAAAGTAACATTTTGTACACCACAACTATAATCAGAATCTGGCATTGGTTTATTCAAATTTTGCTTTCTTGGAAGCAAAGCTTACATGTTTGTAAACATCAAATTAAACATTGCTTAATCTTACAATTTGCTAAACAAATACTTTTTTACCCTGAAGGGCATATGCAGACCCATCTATTTGTGTCACAGTTCTGTTACTCTGTGCTTCAATATTTTTTAAACAATTGGTTCCTGTACAATTTAAATGGATCTTAAAAATTTCTTCCAATATTGTGCAAGTCATAGGCAAGGCCATTTTGAAGTGTGCACTTCCTTACATAGTTTTTTTTATCAGTACCTAACTAATGCAACTGTGAAAAACTATACATTTTCAGGAAAATGTTTAGATTTTGGTCCTGTACTTAAAGACCTTCTATAATCAAGTTGTTTACATGAATTTGAATCACAAGCATGTACACAACAAAACCACTATACCAATGTTTCTTGGTCTATGCATAAAAAGTATGTCTTCTACTTACACTGAAACATACAAAAAATAAACTACAAAAATTGTTTACACTTGATTTCAGCAAAAAAAGCTTTCTTCAAGAAAAATGATTCTTCTTTTTATCAGCCATCAAAAAAGGAATGCAAGTAAACAATAAATACATGTGCTTTCTCCATATAGACATATTTACACTTGAGTCTTTGGCTTATGTTTAAGTTTCTTTATAAAGATCTTTATGTGATCCAGCCATCATTGCACATTAAAACAAAATAAGCCAGTTTTTCTTTTACTATATATAATATATATATGCAACACTTGAAACGTATAAAGAATGAACCTTACTATCAATCTGCACTGTTATTGTACTTTAACAATGTATCAAAAGAAAAAAATTAATACCATATAGGAAATATTGATACATGCAACAGATGGTCGCTCTACTGTATCTGAGAGACAGCTGCATATACACACACGAGAAGGTCCTAATCTGCGCAAATCTCCTCTGACTCTGGATTTCATTAAATAGTTTTTATGTGGCACTAAATGTTGATACTGTATACAAGCATAGAAACAGATTGAGTTCTTTTATTAAGATACACAACTTCATAAGAAAAATACTTTGCATTTAAAATTTAAAATCCCTCCCACCCCCTCTTCCCCTAAAATCTTTCTTCACAGGATCAAGAACTGTTGTCAAAACAGCTTATTGAGATTCATATATTTGGTGAACTTCGTCACGTCCTTTCCGACTAAGAGGATTCCAGGTACTCCAGTGCAACATCGTAGCAGAAACGATATTGCTCCTTTAAGGGAGAACAGAAACAGAAGTTACATTAAAATCTAAAATCTTAGCAGCAATATCTATAACCAAGAACATTCTTCGCTAACTAGCAAGCTAGACAGGCTTGGATTTTCTATTTTCCCCCCAGTTACCAGTTCTGATTTAAAAACTCACCCTAACCAATGAAGGGGAAAAGGACCCTGACCAAGAAAAGTAATGATGTGCTTCTCCGATTTTTTCAGCTTCTGAACTGGTTTATCAAACATGAACAGCTTTCCTTTGAGTCAGAGCATTCTTGCAGTGAAAGCACCTCAACTCTGATACTCCACTTCTATTTGATTTAGCTGATATTGAACAGTAATTGGTGCAGGACTGTGAGCAGCACCGTGTGCAGTGCTCATTGGTACAGTCCCATTCATGTGGCATCCAAAAGACCAGATGAACATTTAAAAAAAGAGGTTAAAGCTCAAAACCTCATTGTGGTTATTATTTCTCCCCAACAACACTGCTGTTGAGAGATGATACTGGGAGGCAGGGAGGAGGAGGGAGAGAGGAGAGGGAAAGAAGAAATAAAATCAAGGAAATTAACTTGATGTCTATTGTCCTTATGACTTGAAAAATGAAATCTGCCCTTGTGATTTATTTTTGTTTGCACAGGAAGACAGTGTGATGCATTAACAGGAAGTTGTGGGGATATCTTAAGGGCTTTACTGCACTGCTCATTGTTATCTGATCATGTTGCTGAATGTAAGGCATATGACACTGCTATATAGTGGTTTTGCTGGTTTGTTTTTAACTAACAACTCAACAGCTTCTGCTGTTCAAGAGTCCTGAATAAAAATCCACACAACACAAATACATAACTAAAAAAAATGTAGCAACTTCAGTGTAAAGCTACAGTGGAATTCAGGACTATTTTGAAATGCAATATAAGTTTGCAGAGATTTATCAGAAGAAAACACAATCTACCTTGGCCTCCCTTTACAGAGACACAAATAATTTTCTGTGTGATCTGACCTGTTTTCTTGACAGCAGTGAACTGAAATCCAGGCAGCAATTCAATATGTTGTGTCTCAGATGGCTATGGCACAGGAGAATGGAAAGCATTTGCAGCAAAAGCAGCAATATCTAGCCCAGTGTCATTGCTGCCACAGGATGTTCTATTTGTTAACATATTAACCATCTCCTTAATTTATGTAATGGCAAGGGATGGAAGTGATGCACTATGATTAAGAGAATCATGCCACAGAAGCTATTTCATATTAAGAAAACACTGACACCTGGAAAAAAGGGTAATATGGGAAGAGGAAGCTACAGCCATTTTGCACAATATGTAAGTTCACACGGTCAGAAGCAATTTCCACTATGCATAAACTAAAACATGCTTTTAATTTCAATTGGCATCCCTGATTTTTATGCTGCAGGCAACCATCTGGCTGAAAAGTGACACTGGCAGCTGGCAGTGTGATACTCAAATGGCAGGAACTCCCTAACACTATATAACCTGCTTTCATTCACCTACAAAAAGGAAAAACATCCATGTGGGAGAATTTTTTAAGGACCTTCCAGTCCTTAATGTTCAGTTTTTGTGACAGAGGCAAACGTTCGAGTGGAAAGGCACTCATAGTGCGTGCATAAAAATTAACCAGAAGATCCATGGTTGAGTTTTGGCAATGTACATACAGATATTTAGTCTTACAGTTTTGCTAATTCAGGCTCATATTAGTTTATATTAGTTTATTGTTTATATTGTTTATTATTTAACTGTTGGATTCAATGGTCTTAGGGGTCTCTTCCAACCTAAGTTATTTTATATATTCATTTGCAACATACTAGTTCCAAATGTTTTATTTTAAAGTTCTGAGGTATCATTTTGACTACTACAAATCTGAGTAACAAAGATTGTCATTATTCAATACAACTTTCAGAGCAGTAGTTTTTACTAAAGAGTGAAATATTCACAGATCTAGCTAGGAATCTGTACTTCACAGCTTATTCCTACCAAGGAGAAAAGCCTTGCTCTGTAAAATTTCAAGATGGCTTGTGTGAGTGCAGCCTGCTGCAACTACCTTCCAAACAGACCAGGTTATTCTGGGAAATTAAAGTGAATTCTGTTAACTCTGAATGCTTTCTGTGGAAAGCATGCAACCACTTCAAGAAAAGAAGCGTAAAATGCTAAGCCTGTCCTCTCATGATGCTGACTTGCATTTACACTCAATATCTGATCATTCTTCCCATGGTAGGTTTGCACTCTTGTGGGCACAGGGCTGAAAAGGCAGCTCACATGGAGGCAGCCTCTGGCTCCCTGGCTGTCTGCAACAACTCTGTGGGACTGGTGCTTACCGGAGTTTCTACCATGTTGGGCTTACTGTTCCTCAAGGTCTTCACAGCGTGGAAAACATCCACCACATTCTGTCTTTTTACCATCTCAACCACAATGCCAATGGCACAGAACATCCCGCTCCGGCCACCGCCGTTCCTGTACACAAGGAAAAGAGAGAGTTAAATGCCACTGTGGCCTAAGGCAGCATCCAAAACACATTTCTGTTCTTTCACTCTGTAAGCATGAGTGATTAGAGTCTTAGAGGGAGACCAGACTTTAGCAATCTCTCTGCAGCTCCAGTGGGGTTGGTCTAAGTCATTTGCTTTTTCTGACCTTCCTCTCAATTACTGCTTTTGAATTCTGCCCATCATGCTGCCCAACCATGCTATAAGTCTAAATTACATATGCATTAGAAATAAAAAAAAAACAAGTTCAATGGCAAGTAGGATATTAGAAATAATAAAAACAAGTTCAATGCCAAGTACATTTTCCACTTACTTCTGGAAAGACACTCACTTAAATTAACCTATGATATGAGGATTATTCAACCAGATATGCTAAGACATCACTGATTAAATAACTTGTTGACCTTTGGGGACACTTCTGAACTACTTTAATCTTAATTTCAGAGAAATTAAGGTAGGTATTTCTTCTTATTAATTTTGAGGTGATGTAGGCAGAAACAGGTCACTAGTTAATTCTGAACATTTATACAGAGGTCTTTTTTTCAGAGTAAGGAGAAATACATAACTCAATTTCTAAGTTTTAAACATTATATTTAAATGAGGTAGGAGACAGATTAATTACTCTGCTTAGGGAGAAGATGCCATCTTTTCGAAACTCCCAAACCAGCTCCTATTTAAGTATTAGGCAGGCAGCCAGCAGTCATTTACCAACAATAGTTTTAGTATCATGTACTGTAATAAATTTTTTTTTTTCAGATTTCATACATCCATAGTTTTCAGTTTAAATCCCTCAAAATACTGTAGGTCTTCCTTACGGGAAAAAATATAGCACACTGCGCAAAAGAGACACAAAACTCCCTATTTGGCACTCAGTATAAAAGAATTCCTTATGGAAACCAGGCAAAAGAAACAGATCTGTACATGTCTTGTGCCTGAAAAACATTCTATTATGTACAAAAGATGTCAATATACAGAATAATACTGTAGCATCACATTCAAAATACTCATTCCTCGACCTGACACAGAAAAACCCAAAAGTTAAATGAAAGCCAACCTACAGTGGTAATCAGTGGTACTTTTTTTTTTTCATTAGAAAAGTAACAGACACAGGTGCAAAAGAAGATATTCATTAGAATACTGCTTAAATTAAAGCCAAGAATTAATTTATATGAATTTATTTGAAGAGCAACAATTACTTTCTCCAAGTTACTCACAGGCAATGGATGATGGTCCGGCCCTCCCCTTCTTCACATTCCTCTTGCCATTTTTCAACCTGGAGAATTAACTTCAAGAAGGATCTCTTGGAAGCTGGTACATCTCTGTGAGAAGCCCATCCCAAATACTGGAATTGCTGCACCATCAGATAGCCCTCTTGTGGCTTGGGGAAATCAAAGGACTTCAGGTCAGAATGGCACCTTTACATCTTGGTTTAGGAAACCAAAATATAAAACTAATGTGAAAGCTAGGTGTTTATATTATAGACAGATTCTAAGGTGTGCATTTTGCATGGTAGGGCCTCCAATAATTTCTACCGCCTGAGCTCGAGGAAGATGTCAGAAAAGGTAAAAAAGGCATTGAACATTGAAGAAAACATCACAGTTTATGGTGCAAAAATGTAACCTATCCTGAATTCTAAATCAACTGATACCCTAGATTCCATAGATTCTATGTGCCAAGGTTGCTTAGCACCACTAATCAATTTAAAACATCGCTATTAAATTTGTAGATGCACAGAAATAGAGATACATTTGGCTCCTACACATGAACTGACCCCATTATAAATGAACAACAAGTAATACTGGTGTACAAACATGCCTACTGCCTTGAAGTCTTTCCTTTGTGCCAGACTATGATAATTGTGACAGCCTTGCTGCCAGTCTCTGAGCCTTCCACATGCTAGATGCGACATAGGGAGGGCTTTGAATAGAATTAGACTGTCACAAGAAAGGCCTCAATAACAGGAAGAATAAACAGTCTATCTAGTTTCTTGACACTGAAGATGATGAATAGGAATGTGGATTTTAGAAGAGTAAGAACAGAGCAGAGAGATTTTTAAAAGCAAGGTTTATGAGCAAAAGGCCGCAGCGAACAAAGAAAAGTAGAGGAGTAAAAAAATCAAGGCATTATATAAAAGGAAGAAATGAAAAAAAAAAAAAAAGAAGAAAAAAAGAGGAAGTCTCAAAATACAAGAAAAAAGAACCATGGTGCCAGTGTATCCACACCTTCCTTTCCTGTAGTTTCCAAGAAGAGCTGAAAATGCTTTCTTTAATTTAGAACATAAGCAAAAAAAAAAAAATTCAGTAAAATACTAGCCACATGAAAATTGATCTTTGCCCTCTGAAAAATGAAAATGTGACCAAAATAAAATGAAAATAAAATAAAATACATGAAAAATCTTTGTGTACACAGTAACTAATTTCCTCCACAGTTATCTTTCAAGATGAATGAGTTAAACATATACTCAAGATACACTAGCAATTGTGATAAGTTCAGTACTGGATGGAAGATAAAAAGCAGTTGTGGTAAGTAAAATAGGGTTGCTGGTTGATTGTACATAGACTGGCAGCACAAGTGTGTGTAACTCTTTGTGGTAGGCAACAAAAATAAGCAATTCATAGAGGTGAGCTAAGGAGGAAACACTGTATGGCAAGCAGGGTTGAAGAAGATGCTGTGAGAGTGTGGAACATTATAGGACAGCAAAAAGATAAGATGGTCCAGGGTACGAAAGAGTTGACAAGAATGCAAGACTGGCACTGCTGCTGAAGTTGAGAAGATGATAATTTTATGTTGAGGCACAGTAGTGACAGAACCCATTAGAGGTAGAGGAATTTTCAGAGTTTTTTCACATCCTGCTTTGCAGGTGCCACAGTCTGCCTTTCCTGTTGTGGTTTTCACATCTCGAGTTGAGAAGGTGCTGGTTGTAGAATCAGCCTCAGTGCTTTTGTTCGTGATTCACCCCAGAAAACATCTTACCAAAGCTATGAACTAAATACCTGTCAGTACATGTTCATTGCAGGGATATTTCTTTTACTGCATACCAAAAAACCAGAATACAGAATACTTCTCACACATCAGGGAGAATGCCTCAGAACAATATCCATTCATCTGAAAGCTCTCTCTGCTTAGTGAAGAAAAATACTGTAGAAAAGTACTGCAGTTGTAGAAAAGTACTAGAAGTCAGATACTGATGTTTGACTGACTCTTTTTTGAGTAATATCTTAAGAACATTAGTATTATACTATTATTCAAAATTAAAAATCACAAGAGCCTAGAGAGCATGAAAAACGATATATTTTTCTGTTTCATATGGTTAGGATAATCCTTACTCTTGTTAGATTGCATATCCTGAAAATTCGGTTTATGACGTCGCAGTCCATTGAACACGACATGCATTCCACTTGGATGGGGCCGTACCGCAGTATCCCTTCCTCGGGCCAGTATTGTGGGCAGCCCTGTGCCAGAGCAAAACAGGCACAATTAAATGGTAAGTTACAACTTGAGCATTGCTTTATTCCACTGCAGACATCTCACCTAACCTTTACTGAGCAACTAGTGTTGAATAGTTGCTGTAAAGCAGAGAATAATTGCGAAGTCACTGCACTGCTCTACATTTTCATCATGTAGTAAATCCAGAGTGATTAAAGCACGTGACGGTACATGGAAAACTCGAGCTCCAAACTAACCTGTGCTAAGTCGACTTCATTTAACATCACAAGAGAAGTACAGCCATAGTCATACACTAATCTCCAGAAATCTTTCACAGTGTTTGGTAAAGGATGTTGTGTGACAATAAAAGCTGCTGGCTGCCTGTAGCTCTGTAAAAGCAAAGAATTTTATTAGTACCAATACGGGAAGTACTTCACTTCTACTGAAATACTGCAGCAGAACAAAACATAAAAATAGAACAAAACTGTGACATCACTTACTTCATATATCACTGAAGATGTAAAAGTTAAAAATACATTATCATCTCCAATAAGAACAAAGGGGTTACTCTGCTCAGAGGTTACTTCTGCTTGGTTACAGAGCAAGCCCTGTTTACACACTCCAGGCACTGAAGATGTTCTTTGTGGCTCTGTTGAGCTGAGGCTCAGGCAACTCTGCTCTAGGCACTGTGTCCAGGAGCCAAGCAGGGAACCTTCACCCAATGATGCAGAGAGGGGTGCAGAGGTCTCAGAAGATCACCCTCTCCGCGATATGTTTTACATGAACTCTGTGACCCAGCCGGGGACTCAACTCAATTCCAAACTCTGTTTCACAGTGCACAGCTGCAGGGACACCCACAGAAATGACTTTCAGGATCACTGGGACCCATTTCCAGCAGAATGCATAAGTTAAACAGCAAAATACTATTTCCTGCCATGAGCACAGGTTCAGTTTTCTGTATGCTGTGTTATACACAACTTCAAACAGGGATTTTGAGCCTTGCAGAGTAACTGAGATGCAACTAACAGCAGAGAGGCTATTTTCCTGCTGCAGATGTATTATGAGCAGCAAACAGAAGAGGAGAGATCAGAAGTCTTTTGCAGACAATTTGTAAACATCCATGGAAGAGTAAATTAATCCAGGTGAAAGACCTGGCAGGGTAGATGAACCACTTTTGCTTGCTCACTTGAAGATTGATCTAAGGGATCTTTATGTACAATATATCGACATGCTCTCCAATAACTTTTTGGTAATGTCTTTAGCATCAGTACTTGTTTGGCAAGAGATTTAGGAGGTTGATAATTTTTTTAATCTAGATTTTTACTACCTTTTTCAATGCAGGAAGGGTGTTGGGGTAGCAGTAGCTCATGTCCTACTTCCTAGAATTGCCCAGGGACAACACAGGAACAACCAATTTTGATTCTTCCCCTATACTTTTAAGAAGTAAAACACATCCTAGCTGATGCTGTCCTACCCCACTTCTCTATAATTTCTAGTGTTTCTCAAGATAAGAGAAAGATAAGGAATAACTTTCTCTTCGTGTTTTGTTATTGAAAGTCCCTTTTTCTTGTCAAGGAGTAGTTCCTTTTCTCTGAATAAATCAGTCTTAAAAGAAACTACCAGAAGAGAAACGGCAAAAAAAACCCACTTGTGTTATCCAAAATTTTAACCCTCTACTTATAACCTTGTTATATGCCTTCATTGTAATATAATAACTTTCTTTTCTGCTGCTCTTTTTCCTTTTATTATTACAATTTCTGATTTTTCTAACTTGCCTCTGACTGCCGATGCATTAAGATATTGCTTATTTCATGTCCCTACCTGCCACATGCTGCTGCACACTCAAAGTCCTCATGCTCCCACAGCCTGTGTTGTCTTCCTTTCACCCCAAACCACACTCCTCTATGCAGCTGTGTTGGTTGGTTCACAGCACATCAATTATATCCAGGTGTTTAATGCAATTTTAACTGCAATTCTAAACAATTTTTGCTACCAGAATTCTGTTCATTGCTCTAATTCATCTGTTCAGCCCCCGTGACACCCTAATACATTGGTCTTACACATGCTACTCCTCTATTTTTTTGACACAATAAACTGGTTGTGAGATTAGGGGCTGCATTTTGCTATCAGTTCGTTTTCTGCACTAGCTCAGGCAGAACTCAGTGATAACTATACCAATCAGTGTTGATGATTTCTGCTGCTATTTGCCATTTTATTTCAGCATCTCTCCTTGACATGGCAGTTTCTGACAGCATTTCATTTTTGAGGAAGGGGAGATGCTCCTGGAAATCAGACCACTTATTTAAGTATTTACTGTAAAAGTGGCTTTAGGGGTCTAACTTTGTAAATGCTAATGGGAGGCACAGGTAAGTATCTGGCAGCACATGAACTGCTTTATTGATCAGACACGTATAAGCAGGTTCAACTCCATTTTTCCCATTAATTCACCTTTTCCCCTGACAGTACTTCTATTACTTAGGCTTCAGCTTTGAACAACAAAATCCCCAATCCTATACTCTATACCCAAAGATGCCAAGAAAACAATTTTTTCTTTCTCTGTTGCTCCTGCCTCAGTATAGAAAGACTTTTTTATGAAATAGTGATAGAAACCTCATGCTCAGATAGATAACATTTACTTCCTAACAAACAGCAGATTTTTGAGATCCTGCTGAGATTTGAGATTTGGAGGTCTGGGCACCAGAGCTTTATATAATGCTGTTAAAAAGGTGAGATTTCCAGTGGGTCCCACAAGGATGCCAAAGACTAAAGATAACAAACCTTCTGAACAAAAAACACAAGCTGGTGGGGGGGCTTCTTACCCCTTCCCCCCACCCTTCTTCATTAGGACTGTTTTACTGGGCGCTGCAGTAACAGAATTACCCTTTCTTAAACCAGCAAGTGCTCTCTCTCACATAACAGAGCTTTCCATGGCACGCTATGCAGACAAAGAAGGTAGTCTCTTACGTCCATAAGAGCAGCATTGATGTAGTTGCTGCTCTCCCCATCAATAGTAATTAAGAAAGGCAGACATCTGTCAGGTGGCAGCATATCCATGAAGCGGTTCTTGTCGTGGTTCCTTGGCAAGCAGGCAATGCTGCAGTCCTCTGCCTGCAGGCGGGGGGTCACAGAATTCAGGGTCTACGGGAAAGAAGACGCCTGTTTAAGCACGCTGAGCTAACACACATGGGACTCAAGAGTCCCCAAGTTTTACTGTAAAATATTGCAATATGAGAAAACAGGCATTAGCAAGAAGACATTAGCAAATGCAAGCTCCTATCTGTTTGTTGGACATTCTGAGGCTTTGCAAGGGGGGTTAAGTTGAGGGTATTAAAGGCACTCCGTGTACCACTGAACACACTCTGCATGACACCATCCCTTCTGAAAGGAATAAAACAAAGAGGATCCTTTGAAGCCCTAAAAAGTTATGCCTTCAATGACCAAATGCAAGCCAAAACTCTCTCTGGCTCCTACTCACTGGTCTTTATATCAGACAGATATTTATTGCAATTTTATTAAAAGGAGGATATTCTGTATTTAAATCAATTTTGCAAATCATATAAACACGGGTGTTTTATTTTGTAGACAAAAAGTTAGGGACCAGTTGCTATAAAAGTCATATGAAAAGCCTTCTCCATAAAATAAATGTATCTAGAGGCAAAAAAATTGTTGTCACATCAAGAGTTGCTAGGAACTGTGAATACCTGAAACTCATCTTTGAGATGCGAAGAGTTTGTCTGAGAGTCTATTCTAATCATATCAAAATAAGCAGCTTTGAATTCGCAGACAGGAATGGCAGTTTCTCCACACAGGCAAGCTTCTAGAATGGCATCGTGAATAAAGATGTACTGTTCCTGTCAAATTAGGAAAATAAACAAAAATTGTAGCCATTTAAAACTAACAGATCTTTCTTTTAGGATAAACAGGACTACTGCATACTCTTAAACCCATTCAAAATACTGTCCATCAATACATTAAATAACACTTTAATACAAACAGTCTTGTTCTTATTGGGGTGCAGTGAACAAGGATGTTTTCTTCAGGACCAATTTAAATTCAGTAAAACTCAACAGAATGGGATAGATTTAAGAAGAGATTTTCAGTGTTCTTGTAGTGCTTGTGAGTTTCTGTGCATGTGCCAAAGACTTGTTTGGTTTATCAATTTTTTCAAATAGCTTTCAATCTTCTGATGTTAGCAGAAAGTGTAAATTGATAGTGTGATTAGCAAGTATCTGGCATGCTGCATTCTACTTGTGCACGTGCAAGCTAGTCCATCAGTTGCCTCATACTTGGCTCTAGGCCAGTAATAAATTCCAGTGTGTTCCAAGAGAAGCACCATTTCCTCCCATTTTTACTAACTTGCCTTGAGATAGCCTGAGTCCTAGATAACTGCATTACTATTTCAGTTGAGCCTCCTCTCAATTTTTACACAAAATGCCCATTATATTTACTCACCCTGAGCGTATTAAATGTAAACCTTGCCTAGAACTGTGCCAGCCCCATGTACTTATTGTGAATACCAACAAGGCTCTTAAAAGCACAAAATTTAACATGTGCCTGTAAAAACAGCACTTATCCAGGGACCACAGTCTTTGTCTGCTCTACAGCTTTACCCACACAGCTATGGAGCTATTGGCATCACTGTTAACTGTATGATCACCACAAGAACTTGATGCAATTACAGCTTTATTTTGCTGTACAAGTATGAACCTCTGAGAGAAGGTGAGAGGTAAGAGGCAAAAAGGAGATAAAGGAATAATAGTAGATGTGTCGATTCACATGCAGATTAAACTGGAAGGATTAAAGCACTCACACTGAAACACCCCACCTCATGCACTTCCCAAAGGCTAATGCCCCTGTAGCAGCAGTAGTTGACCAGAACATCTACTGTCAACTGGCATAGGTTGCAGCATGGAATAAAAACTGCACCAAATTACACTGCTATGCTTGGCTGCCAACTTCAGAGATTTCTCTGTGGTCATAGGTGAAATAACATCTCAGGTACACGTCCTTATGGAAGGCAGGAGAGAGAAGTGGTGAACCACTTCAGGTAATCTGCCAATATAAACCAATAGCCTGTGTTTCTGTGGAAGCTCAGTGGTACTCTGGTGGCAGAGTGGGAGCTCTTAGAATTTCATTCCTAAGGAAATTGTTTTATTGTGAAGCTGCTGAAGGCAAGTTGAAAGACCAAGAGTAAAAATATGGAAAATACTCACAGGAAGGTTAATAAGGCAAACAAAAACAGAATTGAAAAGAGAGTGTGAAATGGATATAAAGTTCACCAGTCAATTTATAGGATAAAGGGATTGGAGATCTTCTAAAACAAGTGGCAGGCTGCTGAAATTCGACCTTGGGGATCCTGGGTTTGCTGATACCAGAGCTGGGGAGAGTCTTCCCGACACACCTAATGTAAGGTCTTCCCTGAAAAGATCCTTATTTCTTTCCTTATGTTACCAGGTTGGGTGGGCACTTGTTTCTGTGAGGACTACAGGAGTTGGCAGATTTGTTGCACCACCCTGGTACCGGGCGCTTTTACACTGAGCAGTGGTGCCCCCTCCACAGGGCCACTGCCTGCTCTTTTCAGAGTCACAGTGAAATTGTGACCTAGAACGTTTCAGAAAGCATCAGGTGCTTCAAAGGCAAACTCCTGTACCTCAGTTTGTACCATGTTGATGCGCCGGGACCGCAAAGCTTTGACACAGTTGTAGATATCCACAACACCTTCTCTTTCTGCCATATCCAACATGATATCAATCACAATGTAACAGCCTGTCCGTCCAGCACCAGCACTGAAAAGAATCAGTAAATACTGTTAGGAATAGCCCCAGAAAAACATCTACAAACTTTATAACCATTATTGAGAGTATTTTTATAAAATCATTCAGCTTTTCATCACAGACACTAATTTTTATCTTCTCTCCTTCTCATCATAACATCTTTTAAATCTTTTGATGTGTTCAAAACAATATCTTTCCATCACATTTGATCCACTAAGTAACAACAAAAAATAAAAAAGTTTATTCCTTTTATCCCCCAGATCAATACTTAAATTAAAAAAAGAAGTTAGTTTAACTGAAATCTGAAGAATGCTTAAACTTATGCACTTCAGAACATTGTAGATCTTGTTTTTCTTTAATAAGACTAAGAACGATTTTTAAGTGATCTATTACAATAAGAAACTCAAATGTATGTTTTACCAGCCAAGTTCCAAGGCAGTTCAGACAGCACATTCAACAACATCCAGAAGATTCACTCATGATTTATTTTGGCTTAACATAAAGCTATGGACAGTTTTTGCACAGTGAATTATTAAAATTTGTAAAGGCTGAGTAACTTTATCTACAAATATAACTAGACATTTGAGTAAAATATTTAAGTAAATCAAACATTTGTAGAAAGCAAATTCTATTTGTCAAAGGATTGTGTCCCAACAACAAAACATTGCAAAATCTGCACAGGGGAAACATTCTGCATTTGTTGCCACTAACCTCATTCCATCTTTCTTCATCTGCCTGCTTACTTTGCTTTAAATTAATAATCAGTTCAGATACTATATGCAATACCAAGCTATTAAAGCAGGTGTATTTACACTCATTTTCAAATGCTGTCACAAAATTGTTGAAGGCTACCTAAAATGATAGCCTGGAGTATCATGATTTAGCTGGTGCAGCTGTTGAAGGAAAAATAAAATCTCAGACTATTCTATTTAAGAAAAATGTACTAGAATCTGGTTATTTTCAAACATTGCTGTAGACAGCCAAATCCTTCTGCAGTGTGAATTAGGCAATTCAAAAAGGGAGCAACAAAAACAGAGCACTTCAAAATGATGGATGCTTCAGAAGAGACTGCTGTAAATAACCATATAAACAGTTGTGAAAAATACAAATCTCTGCCTTCTGTACACACCTGCAATGGACAACAATAGGCCCTGCACTAGGAGGGTTAGATAATTTGACTCTCCGTATAAAGGAAAGCAGGCCTGTGGCATTGTAAGGAACTCCATGATCTGGCCAGCCAGTGAAATGAAACTGTTTAACTTCACGGATTTCATTGTAGCCCCTCTGTAAAAGGCAAAAAAAAAGGTTATGAAATTGGAAGTATTTAATAGACTAGATATTATCTGATTCAAATAATGATCACACATACTGAGAGAATCTACATGCAGTTTTCATCATTTTATCAATTACTTAAAGCAATGATCCATAGGAAGCTTAGAGATGTCATTGGGTTATTTTAATTTTGAAGTTTGTAATTTTTACTTTAGACATTAGGTATGCTAGTTTTGCTGCACTGAAGATCTTTTTTTTAATAGACTTCAATGCACTTCACATTGATTTTCAGAAGTTTTGCTAACTAGGACAAGGACCTGCTACATTTAAAGGCAAGTATAATTTAGCATATGACCACAACTTTATCACATAGAGTATTCACAGAATTTGTCCTTTGTTTGAGATTGACTCAGCAGCGGTCGGGACAGAGTGCGTAGGGATGAGCAGCAGGTATGACTCATAATCTGGTACTTGAGTTTAGTTCAGAAGTGTGGCTGTGGAGAAGAGGTGACTGTCAGAGAGGGGATGGCAGCAGTTGACATTTCTGGGGAAATTCAAGGTCCCACAGTGAGATGCATGCTTGGGTAGCACTGACGCAATGCCTAACTCCCATGGTAAGGTAAGGCTGCCTACACTGTGGCCCATCTAACAAGCCAGAGGGATTTGATATTCCACAGAAACCTCAGCATAGCATCTTTCATCCTCCTTGCTACCAGGAAACAGTATTTTGCTAAGCCCTTTCAAAATGCACTCACCCTTCCCAGAGTGAAGGTCCTGACGACATATTCAGCGAGGGGCTCCATCTCTACACAAGTCACTTTGAAGTCCCCATAAACTTCAGTGTCATCAGGCCAGTATTTGTAACACTTGACCTAAATAAAAAATGGGAAGGATTTATACCAAGGGGAAAACAAAAGCTTGAGGATACAGTACTGCATGTACTACTGCATGACGCCGCATTTATTTCCAAAATAAATGCATTCATGTGGCTTGTCATGGCTAGTAGCTGTTATGCCAAGTTAAGCACTAGCTACAAGGAGTTTCAACTGGTTTACATAGCCGTACTTAGGTGCCAAATTCACTTCTAAATGAGCATTTGTATTTTCTTTAGTGCTGAGCTATGGAATATATTTCTACTTATGCTAAACTGTGATGCATTTTATACCCATAATCAAACTGTTGCAAGTAATCTCAGATACTTTATAGACTTCCCTGAGTATCTGTTACTGCTAAACTGTAAATAATTTGCTGATTTCTAGCCACTGATATAGAAGCACATTTCTTCCACTACTCTTCTCATTTGAGTGTCACTATACAAATTTATTCTGCTGAAATATGAGTTTTGGATTCAGACAATTTTCCACTACGCATGAAAGCAATGCAGCATCAATTTTCAGAAGTTGCTTTTAGACAATACCATAACTGCAACATTGCCTAGACTCCTTCCCCTTTTCCTCTCAGGATGCAGGGCTGCCCTTCACAAGACCCTTCTACATTCTGCCCATAGTATGTCTTGTCAGCATTTTTTTTCTTTAACTTTGCAGCATTAACAGAAGAACAAACCCAAAAACTTACTCTTCCTACTTCCACCAAATTTGTGACCATCACAACACAAGCTGACTGCTCCTGCCATATCATTCTCCAAAAGTCATACACAGTCTCATGAACTGGACCTGAAAGAAAAAATTCCAGGTAATATTCTGAAAAAAAATAACTGTCAAAGTGAATGCTAAGAATAAAATCCAGTGTGTTTCAGAGCTGATGCATGTAAGCACATTTGCTCAGAGAAGAAATGTTTGTGAAACCACATCATCATGACATTGTGCTGGTTTCCAGATCACATTGTTACTTCTAACCAACACTGGATAGTATCAATTAAACTGAATTATCATTTGAAAGGAAATAATGGCAGGTGTTTCATATAGCAAAATGAGAGAAGCTGTTTGAGAACTACAAGGACACAGCAATGTGTGACTGCATCTATAGCTACACTTCCAGTTTTGTTTTACATTTGTTAAATACAATGCGTTGAGAATGAGTGTCTCCAGGTGCTCACCAAGAAGATGCCCACACCAGAGTGAAGTATCAGGCAGGAGGGTGCTGGTACAGATACTCTGCACTTACTATCTGTTTCCTGGCAAGCATGGATGCACAAGTAGGCACGGAGCCAGAAACTTCCCGCTAAAGTGTATTTAAACTAACTTAAGTACTTTTCTGTGAGGCAAATGAGAAGCACATGTTTAAGCTTTGCCTCCTGCTCTGTTGCAGAGACATGTTCAGCTGAGTGACAGAGGCATTTAGCCTCTTAAAATAAACTCCAAAACAGCTCCTTTACCACCATCCAGCAGTACTACATACTGTACATAACAGACAGAGAATCACAGAATTATCTGGAAATGACCTTTAACATCATCAAGTCCAACTGTAAACCTAACACTACCAAGCACCACAAACCCTAAGTGTCACATTTGAGGATTCAAACATATTCTTTCATATGCTAGATCAAATATGCTGGTTTTTGTGCAGACAAAAACAGCAATAAATTTTTCTCTCCTTTACACGCTATTATGTGCAATGATTTGCATAATAAAACAGAAATAAAATACAAATGCAGACTTAATGCCATATAGACATCTATCTAGGCAGCACTTGCACAAAAATGAAAACCAAATGTGAACAGAACTGTGAGCATCCTGCTTTAAAATAAGTCTTTACTTTCACTTTTCTGTGTGCACCTACAATCAACTGAGGGACAAGTAACAGGATAATTCCAGACTACTATACGATTATGCTGACAGATCAAATAATGGCACACATAGATCTAATTATTTTTACTTTAAATCATAGCCTCTGATATTTCAGTGAAATCTTAGACTAATCTATTTGGTTTTCCTCATTGTGAGGAGTTTTATCAGAAATACAAACTAAAAAATAGAAATTTGTTATTTTTCTCTAGCACTTGTTTTTATTAGTAGGGTTTTATATGATAAAGATTTGCCTCACTCCTTTGTACAAAGAGTCTTTGTCCTCTGGCCTTACTTTGCTCAGATTTTCTGAAAGAGTTTAATTTATCATTACTAACTTCACTGCATCCTGGACTAAGTTGTAGACAGTAAAATAAAATATTGCAATATGGAAAGAAAAATGCCACAGGGTGGGTTGAAACTGTTCTCTGTCCATGTCTCTTTTCTCTATTCATCTTCATAATTGGAAATCATGGTAGTAGGTTCTGACTTTATCAGCTGAATTTATCACTGACAGATTTGCTCAATAGCTAATTAACATGATAAATTAGTGCAATTTTTGAATTTATTCACATTCCACCCAAACATACTACATTAATTTACCATAACACAGGATGACAACTCACAATACTGGGTATTCTTTATTTTCATCTACTTCTATTTTACCAAAACACTGTGGAACTGCAGAGAACAATAGCTTGATTTGATTAAAGCTGGCAGATCCTTACCTTGGGTTGCAATGTAGTGACTTGGTCTCTGATATCCCTAAAACAGCAATATAAGTTGGTTTGAGTACCATATTACTAACAGAGAGAGGAAAATAAAAGCATAAGGATACTACAGAATCCTTATATCTAGACATTTTCAGAACAAACCAATATTTAAGAGCAACTGAAGCTCAAAACCTAAAAAACCTGTTAATATTGAAAAGGTTTGAATGACAACAGATAAAATGAAAATAAGAACATCTGACTTGAACAGACATTGTAGTGTACCAGGACGGACTACTCTAGATTGGTCCCTTGCACCTAAAAATGAGTCCTCTATTGACATTATATCCCTAGCCGTATACACAGGGGCTTTTATTTAAAATTTAATAAAAATTCTCTGCCACCATATTATCTCATCTGATCTGTGTTCCAAACTTAGCCAATATAAAAAATTACACACCTTTTGTGTTCTTCCAAACAGAGACTCACACAAAGAGGTGTGTGCCTCAGCCCTAACTAATGGGGACAGACACATTGCTGTGTGCACAGAATCAAGGTCCTACTGCAGTGAAACCTGCTCGACTGCACAAAGTGTGCATCAGTTACAGTGGGCATGATACACACAAGTATATACACAGTCTTACACACACACACATATATATATAAGTAAATAGATAAACCTACACAACTACGCCTTTCCAGATGGCTGGATCTATGCCAATGCTAGCAGCACTATACAGCACTAATTGTCTACATAAAGACTACAACACAAAGAGCTACTGCTCTTGAGGAAATAATTCAGAGTATATTTTGACCAGTGCTGGCAATTTAGCTACAAAGAGGAAGGAAAGTTTAGTGCTGCTAGTGAGAAGACAATACTGAATTTCACAATGTGGAAATGTTAATAACGCCAATTATTCTCTAGGTTAAGTTTTATTAGGCCACTGGCTAGAAGTATTAAATTACAGGGGAGTAAAATCCCTTGGATTCCTGGTATTCACAAGATGCTACTAAAGTGAAGGATTTCAGTGTACCCAAGGAGTTTATATTCTTTTCCACAGACTGCTTCATTATCCTCTCTAGAGTGAGAGCACCTTCCTTTGGGGCTTCTAAAAACTTTTTCGAATATCTTACTCTTGGCTTTACAGGAGACTGAAATTGCATCAAATAACAAAATAATTTCTCCTGAAGTCCTTAATATCAAGTCATAGCTTAAAATTGTGGAAGTGGAATCTGTGCTACATGGGTTTACACTCAGTAATGCTTTCGAGAAAAAGATAAAAGTGTCACTTTAAAATTGTAAAATGCCAGTTTTAATTTGTAGCTTTCTTGTCTGCTTCTAATGAGATTGAATTCACTCCTAAATAAGAAAATCAATATTCTCAGTGAATTATTAAAAATCTGTGAGACTTTTCTTGTTTAAGGCCCCAAGCAAAATATCACGGGCCTATCATTTCACAGAGATTGTCATGCTAAAATATCCGAATAAAAAGACAGAAATATATTTGAGCTAAATCTTTATATCCTGCAAGGGTCTTAAATAACTTATCAACTAAAAGTGATCAGGAAAAACTACTAAGGTACAATTATAAAGAAAAGCGATCAAAGCCATCTATTTGAAAAACACTTGTCACAGCTATTCCACTATGTTTCAAACTGCTTTGAAATTAATTTGAATACAACAACTTGTTTATTCCTAAGGTTAATTAGAGAAAAGTCATATTTTGTTAGTCAAATTGACTGGCAACATTTGGATCAGTTTAAAAAATTTATGAACTAATTTGTATTCTGATTAAAGAATGGAATTTCAAATTTTTGAGATTTTCTGCAGAAGTGAGGAAATTTCTGCATTAAAATATATATATGTGTTTGTGTATATAGTTTGTGATACCTAAATTAGTACCTTAAAGCAAATGCCAGCTAAATATTGATTGTCTAAAACATTGTTAAAAACGAACTAACAAAAAGCCCCTCAACCTACAAACGTCATTATCCCTTCTTTTTTTGCCAAACATATATTACGACTACTCCGCAGGTATATTTTCAAACAACTACAGCACAGTGTACTATCTAGCTTCTTACATATACATGGGAAGGGGAAAAGAAAAGCTAGTGGCCAAAATCACCAGTAAAAAATGGGAACAGCAAATTCTCTTTAACAGATAGGCTCACCTGAGTTACCTAATATCCAATAATATTCAGAGCTAAGCTAAAAGGCTAAATTATCTTTTCAAAACAGGTACAAAAAATATTCACACGAAAAAGAAATTTTTTAAAGGAACAGATGAGATAAATTAGATGAGGCATGCACAACTGATAAAAATAGAAGAGGAAAGTAATTAATAACAATATCTATATTAAATATTTACAATAGGATGCTGTTATTCACATATAGTGGTACTTACATCCCTGTACAGCCAAATCTACAGCCCAAACCAAAGTCAGATGTGAAAGAAAGCACAACAATGTCAGTGAGTACTAGGACGTAGAACAAGGAAAGTGTACATTTGTTCTTAATAAAAGAAAGCTTTCAATAATTTTGTAGCATAACATGCAATAATTTCACATAGAGAAGCTGGCAAATTGAGAGGGAGAAAGCTGTGCATTCCACTCACATCTATGTAGTTGGCATTAATGTAATCTGAAGATGGATCATCTTCAACAGGTTGCAAAATCACTCTGGAGTGGTCATCTGTAAAAACCAAGTGGTTACGGAGCCTTTTTGAAGTGTGATTTTAAAGTAAGATATTAACGGTACATCATCTAGAAAACCAAAATCAGCTGGCATAAGCACCTCACAATTTACAGTCCTTAAAAACGAAGTGTTCACGCAGAAATACAAAGAAGCGTTTTGCCTGGGGTCTGCAATTACTTCAAAAAACATTCACTACGTTTCATTAAGTGCAGCTGAAAGGTATTGGCACAGTTACATGTGGTTAAAAAGACACAAAGAAACCAGGTTACTTGCTCAAAGTCCCTTTCAACCTCAGCTCCACTGCTGGTAATCTAGAAAACCAAAAATGCTGATTACTGTTTCCTCACTTCCAACCCCAGCCTGCTCAAGTTCATATTGAGACATTATTGAAATCAAGACAAAGGAGTTAGCAATGCACTTGGGATTCAATGAAGAGGTAGCTCTACCCATTCAGGGACTTCTCCAGCACCGTGATTCCTGCGTGTTCAATTGCATGGGTAAAACAATACAAATTGCAAATAAACAGAACCAACATCCAGATGAGAGCCAGCATGTTGCTGATATATGCTTACCACAGCTTGCACAACAGAGATGTAAATGCGAAATTCAGCCTGAGTTATAAAAGGAAGAAAGTTGAACTGTGAAGAACAAACAACAACAAAAAGCTGAAAAAGGCACTGTTCTGCTTCTCCACTGCAGGTATTAAGCAGCTGTGCCACCGGAGAGTTGCAAAGGAAGAGAGAGCATGGCCCGAGTAACACACGAGTAGAGCTATGGCTCAAACCGAGGACACCGATACTCACATGCTATAATGTTTCCATAGCGGTTCTTTGTTCTGTTTTGATCCTTCTTAGCGACATCCCAAGAAGCTGACTGCCCCTCAAAGAAACTCTATAAATAAAAATGTTCCGAAAGAAAACATTCTGACCATTAATTTATCTCCAAAAATAACAGCTTAAAAGAACTGCCCCACCATAAAGAAAGTTCAGCTTTGCTCGCCTGCCCCGGTCACCCAGGCAGTACCACGGTACAGAAATATCTAGAGAAGAACGGAGCCTCTCTCCCTCTGACTGCTACTGGCAAATGGGCAACTCACTGAGGAACTCCACAGGGATTTCAAATCCTGTAATTGCCAGAAGGCTAATCTTGCTTATACATCCTTGCTATGGAGGAATGACAGTAAACTGAGAAAGCACAGAGAGATTGATCACTCTTCTTCAGGACAATGTAATATACAGCCTGTTTGCTACAGCATCACATTGCTTTCCACATTACTTAGTAAAACACCTTTCCTTCCTACAGAGACATCAGGAACTCCCTTCTCTGCCAGTGTTCATTGTTCTTTTTGCCTTTCCTCATATCCCTCCCTCTAGTCACCAGGAAAATTATTCTACATTTTTGAACTCTTAAGACTTTGATATCTCAGTACTGATAGAAGCAGTTTTTATTTCTCCTTGGCTTTCTCTTCATTGCCCGTAGATATTTTACTGCTGTTGTAGGTCTACGCTACTCCTTCCTTCCAGATGGTCTCTTATCCTGGGTAAGTTATCTCTAGAAAATATACAGTAGCCATGGAATCAGAACTTTAATGCACAGTCAGAAGCTCAAAGCAGGGAATAGATGTCATGTATAGAGATAGGAGAAGTAGCAAGCAAGAAAATACCTGATATGGCATCAGGGAACACCCTCCCCCCCAGCAGTGGCTGACACTTGGTCTTAGCCTTGAAGTTAGTCAGAGCATAACAAAGCATGTTTAAGTAAAAGAGAGGAAAAGAGCATAATATTCTTTTAAAAACCACACATTTATTTATTCCAGTTCTTATGTTTACAGTAGAGACAGCTGCAGAAAGGAGAGAAGGGTGAAAACTGTGTCAGAAGAGATTACTTACTCAGAGAAAACTCACTGTAAACCTAGCTGTATTGTGAGCAACCTTGGCAGTCCCATTCCCATCTTTACTCAGTGTTCTGCCTGATATGCTAATCCCAAAGAATCACAACAGATTCAGAGATCAGAAGCGAAACAAATCTGTACTCATCTTCTACCTCCAGTGCTGGGAATTTCTTGCTTCCATTTTAACAATAAAGTTGTAAATAGACATGCTCAGGCAGGTTTAATTAGAACTTCAAGACGTTACTACCCTTATTGTCTCTTTACTGCTTCTCAGCTGGTGCTAAATCCCAGTATTACCCTAATGAGATGCTAAACTAAATCAGGAGAGTGTTTCCAGTCAATGTTTCTTGTAAAACCAGGCAGGTAAACTCTTTAACTTAATCCAGGAGATCTGCACTAAAAATAGCTCATGTAACTAATTACAGCATTTCCACTAAAGAGCAGCAACAAAGGAGTGGCAGCTTCTTACAATATGTCAAAAAGATTATTTTTATACCCTAGAAAACACACAGGGATTTTCTACCAGGCAGTTGTAAAAGCTCAAACCATTGGACTCCATTTACTATTTCCCTTTTGGGTTACACATACAAGAATTCTACGCCTGTTAATCTGTTTTTCACTTAAACCCATGACATTTCTCTCCATCCTTTTTCAATACAATGCAAACAAAAGGCTGCCCATTTCAAAGGGATTTTTCCTAGCAAAGCCCCACCACTGGAGATCTCACCTCATACTCCTCTTTAAATCCATAGCTGTCAGAGGTCTTCATTAGGTTAATATGCTGCAGGAGATCAGCCACCCTGATGGCAGGGTGCAGCTGCCCAGTCTGGTACGGGGATTCTGTGCCTTCGCAGAGGTAACGAGGGACATCCAGGAGTCGGCTGGACTCTGCTGTTGCACTGTGATTTTCATCTGTATTCACAAGAAATCAGTGCATTATGTACCACAGAGCAGTAACACCTGCTGCTATACATATCAACATCTATTTTGAATCTCTTCCTTCAAAAACATCTCTCATTTCTGAGAACACAAAGCACTTACTCTCCATCATATAAACACTGTGAAGTACATAAAAGAATTTAACAGCAAACACATACAAAAGTTTGCAGTCCTTCATCCAGCAATAAAGATGTCTGAGGGGCATTTTATTTGAAGCTACAAAATTTTATGACATTAATGTACTTGGAAACTCCAGACTCTATCAACCAAAGTAACTTTTTAAGGCTAATACATATCAATAACAACATTTCACCTTAAATAATAAATTAAGAATAATTCCATAGTGGTATTGGCACATCATTTGTCTAAAGCCAACAAAGAGTGAATTGAGAACCCTGTAAAAGAGAGAACCAATTATGCCACCACTTCAGAACACCACTCCACTTAGGAAGATGAATCAGAACTACAGAGTGGTCATTTTAACTCAGGTCTTTAAGTAGAAAAATGAAACTTGAGTTAAGTGTGCTGATTTAAGTCACAATTTTTTACCCTGTATAAGCAAAGAAGTTTCTCCTAACACTCTGTGCTACATGAATTCTCATATCGAAACCAAATGTCAAAGCTGTATGAGGTGATCACATTTTGTCAATTCCTTCTAAGACCTAGCAATTTGATTCAAATTAGTAATTATCAGAAATGAATTTGCAGAGGAAGAAAAATTTAATCTAAGTAGCTACTGAAATGAGAAGTGGATAGTCAACCCCTCCTAAACTTCTTTGAAATCAGTTCACCATTTTCCTTCCCAAGGATCTAGATTAGGAGGAGAAACACTCGAGGAAAAAGAATTAACTCCCCAAGGGTTGGATTTTGTACAATTACACCAAAATGCAAACACTATTAATGTCTTCTGAAATTAAATCTCCTGGGACACCCGACTCTTTGAACTGTCACCTGTGAGTTGCTAATTTCAGTAGCTAATTTATGCCTCACTAGCCTGCCTAACAAGGTGAGTGACATGCAGCAGTCACTTTTTATTGTAGTGTTACCCATACTAAATCACACACATTTCAAACCACCTCAGGATTTGTAGTTCTCCCCATTCCTCACAAAATACTTACCAGTAATAGGCACTTTAACCCAGTGAAGCAGCAAAAAACAATGAGTGAACAGAACATGAGAAATTTATTTCAGGAATATATTAGAAAATGGCTAAAAGAAAGTGACATTCAAAGTTCTTAAATCTTTACAATAGGTAACAATGAAAGCTGTTTAAAAATATAAGGGCTACATTATTATACTATCAGTGTAATAATAGGGACTTGGGAAAAGCAAAATTGGCATACTAACTTAGTGCTAATGTACACAGAATGGAGAGCAACATTAATAGCCTATACCTGAAGAAAAAAGAAAACTAGTATAGCTACAAAGTAATAAGAATTTCATATTTAGAAAAAAAAAGTGTTCTATGATTTAGAGCCCATAAAATATTCCTCTTCTCTAAATAAGGCAGAAGAAAACTGTTTTGTTATGCTGGGCTGAGCAAAGGCTATATGAAAATGGAGCAGGCCAAGTGATGCTGTTCCAAAGGAACAAGGTTACAGATACCCAGCTTTTAATACATGGTGTGCCCAAAAACTTGTACACTTCTCTCCAGTATTTCAGTCTACTCAATGAAAATTAGTACCTCTTCCAGCTATCTATGAGGAAATTATCATGCCCAGAATATCATTACCAGTAGAGGAAAAAGCAGACAGGAACTATCACGATGTTCTTCAGTTAGTTCCTTGCCCTCAGCATTCATAGCTGTCTGTAACTGTGTCTGCCACAGCAGAAAATACCATGGCAGTATGGCAGAGTGGGGAAGGTACCATGAGCACTTCACAAGCAAGCTGGATCAGATTTCAAAGTTATCTTGATTATTTGGGAGACAATGTGAAAATCAACAAGGTGAATTGAATGGTGAATGCAAAAATAGCGTGTGTTGGAAAGGGAAGTCAAATATATAACTACAGGATGGAGTAATGGACTGGAAAATTATAACTGTTATTTTAACAGGTAACTCAATGCAAGTCAGCAACATGAACACAATAAAAAGGAGAAAATACAGTTCAGTTGACAGAAACAGTCAAAGTGGGGCATGGGGGTACCTATTCCACTCAGCTCAGCATTAAGACTTCTTCCAAGAAAGCTACCTGATTTGGGACACTGAAATTTAAAATTCAACTTATGAGTTGGAAAGCATTCAGAGGAAAATAGTGACAACAAATTTAGAAAACATCACCTACAAGATGATGAGTGAAAGAACTGGGTTAAACTCAACTAAAAGAGAAATAATTGAGGACATGAGCCTTTCAATGTGCAAAAGACTTTTTTGAAAGGACAGAAATGTGCCAATTTTCTGTATTTTCTATGAGTCTCTCAAAAGGAAATGGCTTTAAAAAGTGATAAAAATTTAGTCTTGATTAGTGCAGTTAGGAAAAACTAGGGGTGGGCATTAATAATACTTAGTAGTAACACCCAGTTAGTAGTAATTAAGACTCAGAAAACTGACCTTTCGGTCCCAAATATTACTAATATGAATCAGAATTTATTCTTACTAAGGAGGACTGAGGCACTGGAACATCCTACTGCAAGAGTAAAATTCTGTTTGCTACAAATTTTTAAAACACACTGAGATAATTCCCAGAAAGAATCTGTATTATATGCATAATGTCCCACCTCAAAATAGAGGAGGAATTTCATTGCCCCCAGGTCCCTTTAAGCTTTACTACTAGGAATCTAATTTTCAACATGTTCAGCATCAATTCACATCCACTTTCTGACATTTGTCTTTTATCCTAAAATAACCTCAGCAACTGACAGAAACTCAATACTGCACATTGTGTTTATCCAACTGAGAATTTGGGTACAAATTATACTTTTATCCTCTTATTTAAAAAAAACAAACAAAAAAACCCTCTAAAATCTGCATCCAGTGTTAGATGCAGGATAGACATATGCAGCCTGTGCATTTCAATATATGTTCTTCTTTTTAAAGTAAGTACAAAGCTGAAAAACTTACTAGTTAATGCCAATTGAATTATGTTATTAATACAGGCATACAGAAATACTTGTTCAGAACTTTTAAAGAAAATTGTTATTTCCTGTTATATATCTGAAAGTTTTTCCATTAACTATTTTTCTTTTCATTCTTGTAACTTAGAAAATTGAACTTCGGGTTCCAAAAAATGCTAATGTGGACCTGAATTTTATTTTTAAAGATCTCTTAATAGAGCTCTAGTTTCATATGTCAGTTTATTGGAACTCAGTTTCAAAGCTCTGGGGAAAAAAATTTTAGTATTTTCCACTTACGTACTTCCTCATTTACTCTTCAGTTAGCAGTGACTAGGAATAACTTCTTAATGAGAACACAAAATAATTTTTATTCTAAAGTTGTTGTCATTCTAATTCTGAATTGATGAACTGAGCGTAGAATTATTTTCTGGCAACAGCATAGTTTTACATAAAACAAGCTGTCTCAACGTTCAACCATGCAAGGAGACAGAACTCATGCAGGAATGGATAATGAAGGACTGGGGTCCTCACCTAACACAGCTGTCGGCACAAGTGGATCATTGGGCACTGTAGGAAAATAAAGCCCATGAAGAAACACATTACCCTTAATTTGTATATTCTTAAGAATAAAAACAATATACTTCAGTGTATGACCAAGTGATAACTAAATTCCATTAATTTTATTACAAGAGAAAACCAGAATGAATACAGTTTCAGAAAGCATGCTGAATAAAAGAGGTATGAAAGGCAGTGATTTCAGACTTCAGAAATGTAATGATAAGAGCAAAGAGATCCTTACTGAAATAAAGAAGACATTACATGCAATTTAGTTTTTGAAAGGGCTCCTCCTTCACTATTGTTTTTTTTGCTCCACAATAAAGGTTCACTTTCATAGCACTCACTTCTTTCCTTTTAAAGCCATCCTCTCATGTAATACTTGAATAGCTAATCTCAAAATAAAATGGTACTTCTATAAAGTTTTCCAGGTAATTAGAAAAATTATATACATTTCTACTTTTAATAGCTTTTTAAATGTTCAGTACCAAAGAAATTGCTTGTAATGAGTACAGAAAAATCACAGATACACAGATGCAGATGTCTGAATAAAATTCATAGAATTTTATCTTTTATTATCACATCTGGAACCATGCAGAGATAAATGCACTGTTTTGGATAGAAATGGCAGAATCCAGGATCTGTTTTGTTCCAGTCTGGAACAAAAAATTATAATGTCAAAGTGTCTGTAACGGAATTAAGCTTCAGTTCTCAAACAATCTGCCTGAAACTTTGTCACATAGCAGGAAACCCTGAAAACTAGAAAGTCTCAGCACAGACAGTGGTCAGAAGAAAGAAATCCTTCAATCTACAAAAAATCACATACCTAGTATGCTAGAAAGCAGTGATGTCCAACTTCTTTGCCAACCAGTCAGGACAGCTGTGGTGACAGGAGCTTATGGGCTCTTGGCATCACATCAGTCCATCTGAAAGGCTGCCTGCTTGAGTGGCTGGCAGCCCTGGCTCACTAATAGCCATGCAAATTCCTGATAAATTCTTAGCCTGGGATCCACCATCACAGTCTATATCAAACTGTCTCTGCAATCCTGCCTCCACAAATTTCAATGCCAATAAGACATCAAACTTTGGAGACTTTTCAAACTGTTCCAGCCAAAATTGTATAGAAAAACCACCAGGCTGATACTCCCATTTATAATTGGTTATGAGACACTTAAAATGTTAGCACTTAGCAATTTGGTAAGCTTCAATAAACCAAGCAACAAACCCTTCTCCAGAATGCATTTCCTTTACAACAGCTAGGAAAGAGCTTAAGAGCATTAATGGATGCATTTTGCTCAAGCATGGTAAGCAGTATGGGAGACAAGAAGACACATGGTGTGTCATTCTCAAAAGATGGCAATTCAGAAGCAGCTCAGGCTGCTCAGATCTGTTTAAAGCCAAGTCACAAGTCCATGGAGCTGTGAGAAGTTCAGATTCCTACCAGCTCCATGGCAGAATTGCATCCCTCTGTAATTTATACACTAGTTTTAAAATATTCAGTGGAGTACCTTGCTTTTGGCACGGTATAGTGAAGATAATGGGAGGCAAGAGTGCTGAACAGTGGCAGGTATAACCCTTAACAGCCAGAAACCCAAACTTTTTCAAAACCAGACAGCTGGCATGTCTATTCAAAAAATGAATATAAATATAGAACAAATTTGCAGATATATTAGCAAGCTTGTTCCTAAAATTCACAAACAGCAATGAAAATTGTCAATGTTTCCTTCTGTTGTAATGTCCTTACTGCCAAAAAAATAGAAATTAATTTGGACCTCATATTATTATTCATTGCAGACATCGTGTTATGCAGTAATATTTAACGTGCTGGCATTAAATAGTCTCATGAGGGAAAACTCAATTTCAAGTTTTAACTGAGGTGTTCTAGAAGTATAATACTTTCTTTAAAACGAATATCATTACATGGAGAAAGCACATGCAAATATTTCGTTAAATAATTTGCCACATTCCAATAAGGACAACATACAAACACCCCTAATCAACCTTTTCCTTTATCAGCATTCCTGGAAAACCTGGAGCATAAAACCATTTTCCTTAAAAAGCAGAATTTTTTCCTGTATTCCTATATTCACGTACAATCTGGAGTATCTATCACTGTCTACTTACATCTGGGGCTGAAGTTATGTGAGTCCATAAATGTGATTGACAGGGGATCCTCTGCATGCAGAGTGCTCTGGTCGGCGTAGCTCCTGTCCATGGCATTCACCATGTGGGTCATCTCCTGACGGGTGGTTCCCATGGCATCCTTGCGCTTCTTTGCAAGTTTGCTGCCCAGCCAAAAAAAAAAAAGTAAACCATCTTAATATTTGATGAATGTTGATATCTACAGTAATCATTCTCTATAATCCTGAGTGACTGAAAAGTTTGACTTATTTCCCTGTGTGCGATTTTTTCAGTGTGTGATAATACTGTGCTCCCCGCTACGGAACAGTCATGGTCTTGTGTTTTCTGTGCACACACAAGTGCTGTAATGGAAGTGCTTACTTCTGTACCCTGGTAATAATTTTTTTTCCCCCTGTGGAGTAATTACACTAATATAAACAAATTAGAGAATATAATTACATTTTAACTGAAATGACAAATAAGAAGCATCTGTGCATGCAGTTTTATCAACCATCTCCATTTAAATATCTGTTTTGATTTTATAAATGGATAATTCTTTCCCCTTGCTTGCGTTATTGGGAAAAAGAGTCATGTAACCTTCTAAATTACTTTGTTAGAAAAAAAACCTATGAAGTAACAAAGGAAGCAGAATTATTCAAAACATATTTATATTACATATCTATATTACAGTTTATGCAAAAGGTTTTGCTGCCCATTCAATATACAAGGTACAAGAGGACACCACACTATAGCTCTTTGAAAAACAAAACCGCCCTTATCATTCTGCTCTTTTGTGCAGTTTGGGAACACCACAGTTTTGACATTAACCATCTTACACTCTGACTGTATCACAGTTAAAGACCAACCTAATCTGTACAACTAAGCCCCTCAAATTAACAGCCAGTGCCCTTAAAGTGCACACTTCAGAAATATTGCTCAATTCTTCCCTTTTGAGAAAGAACTGGAAGTGATTTTCATTGTCTCCAGGAGTCAAACGGAAGCAGAAAATATATTTTAATTAGAACTTAAAATATATATCTCAAGTAGTAGGAAGTATGCAGAGCAGCATGACGTGCGCCTTGGTTCTGCAGAAACCTGTAACATGCATCAAACTGTTCTGAAATCTCCCCGTTTTCAGCTGAAGCCATGACTATGATACATTAGATAGCCAACCTGCTTAGCTGGATAAATCTGACACCACATGGGAGAGACACAATCATCACTTAATATACTGAGTTCTTGAAAATGTATGTTTAAAACACTTATCTTCATAAGCTTTTTCTGCATAGAATACCATCAAATGTTCTGCTAATTGTTTAGACAGTGTTTATCTTACATTTCTCTTTACTAAAAGGATGGCTCATTCTAAGATCAGACAAGGATAATATATAATATACTTATTACATATTAAAACATTAGATGTTAAGAATGTTCTTTAGATATAAGATGTTCTTTACTATCAAGGTGGTGAGACACTTGACAGCTGTTGCCCAGAGAGGCTGTGGACCTCTCCTCTCCTCTCTGGACATGTTCAAGGCCATGTGGGATGGGGCTGTGAGAAATATGATCTGGTGGAAGCTGTCCCTGCCCACAGCAGGGGGTTTGGATCTTTAGGGTTCCTTCCAACACAAACTATTCTGGGATTCTATGAAGAATATTAGTGTAAATTATCCATCCATGTACTTGTTAATTCTTGGGAAAGTTCACCAGAAAGGAGCCACAGTGCTGTCTAGGGCAAGAAGTACTTCATGCTTACACATATTTAAAAAAGTGTTACAGGGTTGTTTCTTAAGTTAATAGTCTTGGCTCACAATGAGGGACCACGGCGTAGAATATGGATGGACAAAGCCCCCCTGGGAATAGTAGATTCTTCCACCAATCAGACACGTGTTCTTATTTTGTCAGATTCCAAACCCTCCCCGCCTTTTTGCTCCATCTAGAAATGGAATAGTTGGAAAAGCACTACAAAAATCCAAAATGTAGTCTCTAAACCTATCTCTTTTTTTTCATCAAACTATTGTTTGACAGGGCTCTGTATCAGTTGTTACATGAAAAATAAAAAATCTGTTGGATATCCCCCCTTAAGTTTTATTTTATACATTTACTCCATACATTCCTTTTAACTTAAGAGGAGCTGGTTTAAATGACCCTCTGGTTGAACAAATGAAGACCATAAGAACTTCCAAGAGTGAAACTGCTTGAGCTTTATAACTGGTTTCCAATACTATCAAAGCCTTCACAAAACTAGCATTTCTAGTTCAAAGTAGTTTTTAAAGTTTCAAAGCCTTTCAGATAGTCTCTATACACTGAAGATCACCTTTTTCTAACGTCACCTCAGAAATGGAACAAAAAGACTATTACATCTCATCTCTCGATGATATTAAGCTTTTCTTTGAAGCAGCACTTTGTAACAAAACCTGCTAGCCATGCTAAATAAATCAACAGCTATTAAGGCTTTTACATTATTAGCTTATTACAGTACCTACTTTCTAATTCTTATGCTCTGCTTCAATGCCTAAAAAGGCCTATTGTGTTGCAGCACTGCAACCCAAAGCTGCTGGGAAATGGGAGGACAGCTTTATTGTTCAACAGCTCCTGGCTCCCCTGGGGTTTGACAACTTCTTTTTCCTCTCCTTTCCTTTTTCTTCCTTCCCTCACTCAGCTAAAAGCACATGATCTATGGTTCATGATAGTTAAACGAATCATTAGGTTAAAGAACTTGAGGCTGATATAAACCATAAATGATTCTCATTATCTGCTAAAGGATTCAGTTGGATGAATCTGCTCAGGTGGGTGTTATAGTGGTTGGAGGGGAAAGGTGCTCCATCATCGGATGAAACTGTGTGGTTAATTATCTTGAGTAGAAGCAATTGTTATTTAACAAGAAAATTATAATTTGTCACAATAAATCAGAGAATGGCAGTTAGCTAAACCAACCTATCTTTTTTTAAAATTATTTTTAAGTTTGTTTAAAGAAGTCAACTAATTCTGCTTAAAAATGTGGGAGAGCATCATTATTGAACACCACCAGTTCATCAAAGCACTCAAGTGCATCCTTAGACCTCCTCTGAAGTCAAGCACTTTATGCATTTATTTAAAATGAAGGACGTGTGCAACTGCTTGCTCAGCCACAGACAAAATTGTCAGAGTCCCCACAAAAACTCATTTGGTCAACAAGTATTAAAAAAAGCCAGTTTTGCTTCAATGAAGCAAAACTTTTATACCATAAAATAAGATCCACACTTTAAGATGTGTATGCAAAGCACTTCAAAAGCAAAAGAGGCAGACCATAAGCTATTTATGAAAGTTTGGCATCTGCCTACAACCTGCACAGGAAAATGGTGCACAACTGGTCCTGAACTGTTACTCTAAGAACGCATGGTTTGTGACTTACAGGCACAGTTCACTAACTAGGAAATGGGAAAAGATCGTTTTTCCTTAGTGTGATGTGTTGCTGTGAATCATAATGCAAATTAAATTGTGATTATAATAAGCTAAAATGATAGTTATGGAAAAAACTGTAGCAAAAAGCTAAAGTCTCAATATACAGTTAGAAATACAATATCCCTTTAAAAAAAGAAACATCAGGGTAAGAATAACAGGGACAATGATACAAACAATTTTTCAAACCTGATAACAAGGAAAGGTAACTATCAAGGAAACTTTAGAGACTGTTTTTCTTTTTTAAAAAGGGATACTGCATCTTTAAAACACATAAAATAGTAAGTCACCCGTATGCTACTTACAGATAGTAGGAGTAAGAATAGTAGCTCCTCCTGGCAAGCAAATCACAGACAGTGGAAAAAGAGAAGCAATGGTGAATGAAAAGCGTGACTCTGTCACATCCAATAAAGCAGAGAAATGTGCGTTTAAAAAAAAAAAGTTGAAAAATTCATGTTTCTTTGGTTAGCATTTCAACTTGCTCATGCACTAACTAGCCTTACTTTGCCATGCAATTAAAAACAAAACAAAACAAAACCAAAAAACCCCTAGCGTATAAAAATGATTTGTTTTTTTAGAAAGATCATTTGCGAAAATTACATGCTGAGATTTCACTTATTGCCAAAAATTTTGAAAATTAAATGGATTGTGTAATTTCAACATGCAGTTCAGCATAATATAATGATTACCGCCTGGATGTCATGACAAATGAACAGCTGTGTACAAATCTTGTGCAGTAGATATGCTTTTTACTTTTCAGTCACGAAAAATAAAGGTTTCATTAATTAATACATTTAGTCAGAAAACAATTTCTTGCCATTCGCTTTAACATATTTATCAGTACACAGTTGTATACATATATGTTTGTATGCGTGCTATGCGTAGCTATATGAGTACACACATTTTAAAGAAAACATTTCCAACAGGTATGTGTGTACTGGCATATCCACCACACATTTCCTGAACGCAAACATATGCTTTCTATTTTAAAATCTTACAATTGGAAATGCTGATGTAGTCATGCTAAGCATTAAAAACATGGAAGGTAAACAAATGGAAGGAAATGAAGGACATTTGGAAATAGTCCAACAATGATTTCGAAAATAAAAATGGCATTGCTTGTTAAAGATGCAGTATCCCTTTTCTTAGCTGGTTTGATTACTCCAGTAAAAGTCAGTAAAAGCTGTTAAGAGCTTCATTCAGGAAAACTTCAAACCAATTTGTACAAAATGATCAGGCAAAGCCTAAAACATCTCAAGCTCATGAACAAAACTGCTTAGTACTCCATTTTTCAATAAAATGTAATGCTGCATTTAATCAGTTTGAGATAGCTGTGGCTGTCCATACGACATAATAAACCAATAAAAATGCAGAAACCATTGTTTTATTGACTTTTCCATCTAATAATCTGTGGTCAATTGGGGTACCAAAAGGGATACTACATAATGGATCACTGAATAGGTACACTACAGAGGATGATTCAGACGGATTGGTTTTCAGTCCCACCACAACTAAGTGAAGTGTGTTTTTGTATGTGTGTATGTGTCAGAGTTTTTACAGCTGTTTCTGGCTTCACTATATGAATTGCTCTGATTCACTAGATTTAACTCAGGAACACAGTTTTTCTATGCTTTTCATAAGAGACCTTCACTAAAGCTGGTATAAAAAAGTTCCCATTTTCACTAAAGGCAGAGAGGGAGAAGATTGGCACACCTACAACATAAGCAATAGACAACCAATTAAACTACCGTGATGAAAAATTGCCAAACATTAAAGATTCATTAAGCAGGTTAATTTCTCACCTATTTAGAATACAAATAGTACAGGAGTTTAGAAATATGATGTGCTATCAAATGATGATAATTTCTAAAAGGAAACTGCCTTCACAGGTTCTGAGGAGGGAAAGGGGGGAAAAGGGGAAATTTAAAAATATCACTTCACAGATATCATTAACTTACTTTGGTCAATTTAATAGTGAAAATTTGAGCTTAAAAGGACTCTGAATGGAAGAGGCAAGAAGGATAGGAAAAATGTACACATGGATTTGTTTGTTTGCTATTTGCAAAACTAGTCAATCACATCTGGAAGTGACTGACACTCTGTAGTGTTAGACAGTCTCTCTCTCACACACAAACACACGTGCACACACAGAGAATTTTCTATTAAACATAAGGGGACCACTGTAACACGCACTAAGATGATACTTCCCAGCACATACCTTGCTACAAAGCTACAATACAGAGATTTCCTCCTAAAAGCTGAAAAACAACTTATTTTTTGTTTTTCAAAAGTCTTGTAAATAAAGAAAACTGGCTGACTGTATGTCTTTTTTGCACGTGATGAGTTGGACCTTTAGCATATGTGTTAATTCTCAACCACAGAGGTAAACAACAGAGAAAAGTAAAAGCACTTTTGGGAAAAATCACATATGTAGCTAACTAACACAGAACACTATAAGCATACCTAATGTTTCTAATGCAGACGTTTCTTCTCCAAGTTATATATCTCCAGGGATAATTGTAAAAAGGCAATAAATTAAAAAAATCTAATGCAAACCAGCAACTGTAACATATAGAATGATCTTAATCTTTAAAAATAATAGCAAGCTGCATTTCAGAGGAATATACCAACAATCACAAAAATACTTTTTATTATCACTTCTGCAAAAGGTAAGGGAATGCAACGCACACACTATGGGAAGGCAAAGGACTCATTCTATCCAAGAGAAATCAGCTTGTGCCACGTGAAGGGGAACCAGCAGGGAAGGGGTGCACAGAGAGAGAGGAATTAGTTTCTGTACTATAACTATGGACTTACAGGGATGTAGTATGGACTTTTATGCCAGGTTATAAGAGTTGAAACTATTGGAAAGGTTAGGCTTTGAAACACTGACCAAGCAATAGGATAGCACAAGTTACTACAGGTAGGAGGATTGGGAGGCAGGGATAGCATTGAACAATGCCAGAAGATGGCGATATTGCTTACTGTCTAAGAAAGCACTGAAAAAAAATTTAAATTCACTCAAATTAATATACTTTTAAACAATTTCATGCATTAAGGACTCACTAGATAATTTTACAGTGATGTGGCATGACTTTTAAGAAAAAAACTCCAGGTTTACAAGAGCATAAACAGAGGTATAAAATTGGCTTATTTTGCAAGTTGGGTAACATACAAATACAAATAACTCATTAGAGGCGCAGAGAGAAAATAATATTCATTAAGTGGTTAAAACATGAAAAGTGCAATAAGTTATTATTTTTTCTTTGCTTTAAAAAATAAAAAAGGCAGCACGAATTTCAATTCCACCCACTTCAACAATCTGTACATTCTTCAATCTCCAACTTAAAAATCCTTGGAAATAAATAAGTACGAGAAAATGCATAGTTATCTGATCTTAAATATAAAGAAATCCTATCTTTAAATACGTCCTGAGAATCACAGCAAAACCAAAAGTAAGCACAAGGAATTAATACAAAAATCGACCAAAAGGACCTACCAGTCCTAAAACCCTTTTTTCCTTAAAGACCCATAAAAAAACACCCTTTTCAAATTGTTTGATGGGGAGGGGAAAAAAAGAAAGATCAATCAGCACAGATCATATTCTTACCTTTTTTTGACAATCAATATGACAACAAGGAGAAGTAGGATGAATACCAGAATTCCAGCACTTATTCCTGCTATTTTCACCACTCGATCTGTTTGTTTAGCTGGATCTGGAATCACCTCAGGTTCCTCTGTTGCTGCTGCTAAATGAATAAAAAAAAGAAGTGACTTAAATTTGCAAGCACTTATAGAGAAGGAAATATTTTTTTGTTATAATTTTTGAATATGTGTGTGTCTTAATACAGTAATCAAAATACAGATACAGGAATCACGTGTTTAAACATCTACACATATGTACATAGACACACTATAAATTTAATAGAACCATAGAATAAGCATAGTCGGAAGGGACCCACAAGGATCACTGAGTCCAGCTCTTGGCCCTGCACAGCACCATCCTCAAAAGTCACACCATGTCCTTGACAGTTTTGTTCTAACACTTGAGCTCTGTCAGGCTTGGTGCTGTGACCACTCTCTGGGGAGTCCATTCCAGTGCTCAATCATCCTCTGGGTGAAGAACCTTTTTCTGATACCCAATCTAAACCTCCCCTCACACAGCTTCAGGCCATTTCCTCATAATCTCCTTGTAACCAGAGTGAAGAGATCAGTACCTGTCCCTCTTCCCCTCACAGGGAAGCTGTAACTGCAATGAGGTCTCCCCTCAGTCTCCTCCAGGCTGAACAGACCAAATGACCTCAGCTGCCCCTCAGGCAGAGTCTCCTCAAGGCCCTTTACCATCCTTATTGTTCTCCTTGCAACAGCAAGCATATGTGTATCTACAGAGTTGAATAAATATGTGTATATATACACACATTTCCACACATGCAGGTGTTTATGTACCTGGACCTCCAAATACGTTACTGTATTAAAAAGCAGAAGACAAAGTAAAGACAACTTACCACCAAAGTATCAACTTACCACCCTTACTTCATTTAATGTTTTTTTTTTTTTCAGATATTAATTATGGAATATTCAACACTGAATAGTAAGAAAACATTTACACACAAAGAGTAAAACACTTTTTCCAAGCCACAGTGTGAACCCTAAACTGCAGTACTTTTGTCCTCCATCCAGTTTCAGTCCACCTTTGTGCATTAATTCACCTTACACCATCTGGTCTGAGATCTGCATTCTACTGGGAATTTTGATTCTCTAAATAAGGTCATTTACAAAGCCAAGCCTAAATAAAAGTCAGCAGTAGTTTTATTTCTGTTTATAGGTCCTGAAAGAAACCCCACAAACCACTGCTCTACAGAGAGATTTAACCAGTCCATAACACAGCTGAGTGGGCTGAGGCTACAGGTTATAGCAGAGAAAAAAATAGAATATACATGAAAGTGCACAGCCATTCAGTCTGCACCTCTGCATAACAGCCTGATGTGAAAAGCATCAGGAACAGGAGCTTTTCCAGCCTGGTAAAAATATGAAAAATATAAATAGGTATCCGCCAGGGGTAAAATCCTATGAGATGTTTACTTGTAGAATAGAAAACAGCTTTCCAGTTCTCTAGTTCCTGCTTTCTAAGGCTGTGGCCTTTGCTCTACTCTCTGGCACGAAGGGGTACGTGTGCTTGCTCTCCCTCTGGGGCTTCTTGTCTCACACTCCACCCAGCATGCAGCAGATGCCACTTAACCTCTCCCCTCGCAGCATCTTCATGTGGAATAAATTACAAACTCTTGGTATCATCATACTTTTGTCATTACACAGAAAATGTCCACCCTTTAGTCTGAAACTAGGATGCTTCTCAACAGATCACCAAAAGCAGCAGAACGAAAACCAAGGTGAAGTCATATGAGAGAAGGGCCACTGCTGCCCTGAAAATCCACTCCGTTCAGAAAGCCAGTGTAGTCATTATCAGGGATAATCGGTATCTAATACTTTCTGGGTCTAACCATGTTACACAGATCATTTCTATTCAGATCCCATGTGCAGGAACCCATAGTACCTTTTGAGGGACGGATAATGTTGTTATTTAAAATTATTCTTTATTACTTTTTTTTGTAATCTTCATCTCTCCAGTATCTGAACCATGTACTAGCAATTTACCCTCAGAAAAACCTTCTGAGTTAGGAACGTGCTCTCTTCCAGACACCCACACGAAGACCCAACAGACAGTGAGAGATCTGGCAGTGCTTTAATCATAAAACTTAATCATCATCATAAGAATTCATCATTATAATCATCTCTCTCACCTACAGCTTGAACTCTGTCTGCTGAGAAATACTAAATGTTTCCTTCTCTATGTAAATACATGCCTGCATGCACACTTGCATACATAACCTGTGAGGACTGAATACTATATATTTTGTTTCTATTATATGTGTTGAGGTGTCAAGGGGTAAAAGTAGGGATGGGGCTAGAGATGTGTGCATTCACACACAAGCTAGAATTAATGTCAGATACACATGTGATGCCGTCTAACAGAGGAAATGAAGGGCATGACTTTTGAGGCAGGAGTGGAAGATGAAGGTATTCAACATTCTCAATGCTTAAAATGAATCAACTCCCAGTCCAGTATTAGCTGGGCTGGATGTGACAAATGTGATTGAACATTTGATAAGCAGTAGAGCCAAAAGGCCAATCAGTAGAGTCAAAAGACAAATCTAAGCTAAATATAAATGGCTTTATATGCCAATGGGAAAAAAAATCATGTTTGCTGTATGGAGTACTGAGAAACAGCAAGGACATAGGAAGGGTAAAGAGGGAGTGTGCAGGAATGGGATATTTGCTGTGTCTGGAATTGTACAGTGTGAGTGCAGCTCAGCTGCTCTGCCCTAGCAAAGGTAAGGAACTACTCAATCTGCAAAATAACTAAGGCTGGAGCAAGAGATTTAGTTGAGTGGATGGAGATTTAAGGCCAAGTGTCTGAGAAATTTCAAAATACGAATGATAGGGATTGAATGTGACCTGAAGATGCACTTCAAAACTTGAAGGCTCAAAAAGACATCCAACAGTACAGGCTTTGAGCTTTGATCAGGACAGTGGTACTTTCAAAGGAGTATTTATTAGTGATGAGAAAGTGAAGGAGAAGGAATGACAGACATGTTTCACACTCCCTGGAGAAATATAGAACCCTTATAACCTGATAGAGCAAGCTTCAATATATGTGCTTCTCAGAGTCACGTTTAAAACTATTGCATGGCCACACACAAATTGTTTCATTCAGAAAAGTTACTTTAGAGAAACAACTATCCACATCTCAGAAAATCTGAAGGAAATGTTTCCAAGGGTGTTTAAATATTTGGCTAGCCTAGGTGTTTTATTATAATTCACTCTGGAAAATGATTGGATTGGATCATCAGTAATTTCGAAATGAAGCTCTCTGTCAAGTTTTTCAAACACTGGGGAGCCAGGAGGATATCTACGGCTCGACCATTAAGGGTTTTGAAGTAAGGGACAGAAACTCATTCCCATGAACTTTAAGGCTATTTATGGGATAAAGCTGGTGCCCACTAGAAATGCACTACAGAGTCCTAAATTAGTTGAGGAAAATGTCTTTGAATAGCCATACACTAACCAAGTGTATAATCAGTGGACGAGCCTCCTAATACCTAAAATGTTATAATCTGGTGGCAAAACAATACCTGTCTTGCCAATATCAACAAAAAAATTGCTTTGAACTTAAATGAAGCCAAGATTCATATTTCCAGCAAGAGATAATATATGCATTCTTAGACTAAATTCTGCATTTGGGGACTATATGAAAGTAATCATAGATGTAAATCACACTGTAATCTGTGTATTGCATTCAATGATTATTTTGAGGAAGCTATTGAATGTAGCATAGAATAATTTAATGAAGCTTACAAACTTGAAAGCATTTCATATTACTTGTGTTTTAACTTTGATAGCTCAAAGTGTATTGTAATAACCGTATGTGAGCTTACATGGGTAAGCTCATAATCAGAGAGAAAAATAGAGAAATCTTGTGTCTATATGTTGAACCTACATATATAAGTGAATATCTCCTGGCTGCTGATCGCACAAGGACTACAGCAGCAAGTAAACTTCTGCTTACTCTGAGAACTGGCTTTCTCTACCCTCTACAAGACAACCATGTTTTAGCTCTCTGAAGTGGCTCTTCTGCAGGCTGAGCTGCTGATTTTGTCAAACAAAGTAACTGAAGTAACCAAGGCTTCACCAAGAGCAAATCTTGCCTAACCAATCGAGAGGCCTTCTGTGATGGAGTGACTACATCAGTGGGCAAGGGAAGAGTTAAAGATGTCATCTATCTGGACTTTTGTAAGCCTTTGACATGGTCCATGACAACATCCTTAACACAACATCTCTAAATTGAAGAGATACAATTATTTTAATAATTTGGGTTAACTACTGTATATTTCTAAAAAGGGCAAAAATGCCCTAAAATTATTTAAGTTATAAAAACACTTATGTTACTAATTTTTAATGTTCGTTTTTAGTAATGTCATCCTACAATCCTCTATTATATCTTGAACATCAGACTCTATTAAAAGGTAATTTATTGATCTGAGAAAGAACCTTGCATGGTAACAGAATGATGGTCATAAAAAAATGGACTCTCTACTGACTACTAATTCCTTTGGCGAGAGTAACTCTAATAGACCATGAATTAAGTGTTAATTTTTACAATATCTTTGCATTGCATATCAATAGGTTTTTTGCATTTTGATCCTGTAAATCTTAGAAGAGATAACCCTACAGTTTTCAATCGGTGCAAACTCATCTTCCATAAAATTTGCAAGAAGAGTTTCTGACCTGAAACAGAGCGTTAACCACATTTTCCCCCTGTACAAAAATAGCTGCCTATACTGAAGATTTATGAGCTAGACTGGGAGGAGAACACTGGATTTTAGCAATTTATCTACTTGCCTTTTCTTCTGAACTAATGAACAGCAACAAAAATCATATTCCACAGTCCCACTCACAAAGTCCATAAAATAACTTGATCCAGTGATTCTGACTCTGCACATAGCCAGTAACAGTCACTATATAAGAAGTTTTTCTCCTTGTTTTCATAGATACTAAAGGAGAGTATTCAATCAGTCAACTTCCATAATTAATAGCAAGAAGTTCAACTGTGAACAGCACTAAATTAGACTAGTGTAGCTAACTCTCTCAGGGATAGTAGAATTCTAAACAGTTGGTGAAGTAGAGTCCATCT